AACTTGAACTATATTTTGTATACCTAGTTATAGCCTGATGGAGGCCTAGAATGTTTTGCATACTACTAAATATTATGATGCAATAATACTCAATCAAAACTATGAGAAAAACTTACAAGTTTCTAGTAAATGCAATAATACAACAAGTGCCAATTCACAACAACTGAACTTCACATTGTACGATTTGCACATAATTAGGAAAAAGTAACTAAATATAACACTCACATCAAAGTTAAACTAAAACAGTCATGTATGTCTAACAATAAGCCCCTCTTCAAGAAAAATATTTACAATATTTTTTATACTATTTGCAAAAACTGTTTTAAATTTATGCACAATGTCTACTCATACAGTCTGCACCAACATTTGCAGTACCCTTGATGGCCTCAATGCAAAACCAGTAGTTCTGGAAATACAGTGCCCTCTTCATGATCCCCACACTGTTAATTTTGCATCTCTGGATGCAAGCAAGGGGCTGATCTGTCTGGATGACGAACTTCTTCCCATAGAGGTAGTTCTGGAATCTCTGGTTGGCAACTATGATGGCCAGACACTCATTCAATCACGGAGTAGTTCTTCTCACTCCTCAACAGCTTCTTACTGATGTACATAACTGGAAACAGTCCATCTTTATGTTCTTGTAGAAGTACTGCTCCAGTTTCAATGTCTGATGCATCAGCCTGAATGATGAATGGTTTGTTGAAGCCTGGCATTCTAATGATTGGCAAACTTTGTAATATGCTCTTCAACTTCTGGAATGCCATCTGCTGTGGTTGTTTCCTCTTCACCTTTGTGGGTTGGCCCTTTTTGATCAGGTCAGTCAGTGTTGCAGCAACTTCAGTATAGTTTGGGATGAACTTCCTATAGTTCCTAAAAACACCAGGAAGGATCTGACTTGCTGCTTGGTCATTGAAGCTGGTGCATCTTTTATGCAGGTTAGCTTCTCCTCATTCATGGCTATCTACCTTGTGTCCAACAAAGTTTAGCACAGAATAACTAAGATGGTCTGAGGTTAGACCTGCTGTCCTCACTCACCTGAACAGATCTGTGAGTTTCTTCAGGTAGTCTTTCCATCCAGCTATATGGGTTAGAATGTTGTCCACATAATACTTGATGTTGTGCAACATTTTCCTCATTGTGCAGTTGAATGTTGCTGTTGAGTTGGCTAACCCAAATGGCATCCTCTTCAACTGGTAGCATCCGTCTGGTGTCACAAAGGCTGTCTTCTCTTTAGATCCTGTCTCAATCAGGATCTGCCAATAACCTTTACGGAGGTCAATCTTGGTAAAGAACTTGGCCCCATCTACAATACTGCCTCATTATGCTGCTATCATTGGGAACCATGTGCACGCAAGAGCAATATAATTGGGGGAGCATTATAACCAACTAGTCAAGAATGCACTCATACTGAACAAGTTCAGATTTAATAGACTACTAAAGATAGATAGATAGATAGAAAATGAATACTGAAAAAGTCAAGCAAAACAAAATCAAAAGGAAGTACTGTGTTACAAACAGCAAATCCAAACCTGTGGTAAATGACATCCAAATGAACAAAAACAAAATGAAAGATGCTGCACAAATCAAGAGGATTTCCAGGGTACAGCTATAATGCTGGATACAAAATGTGCCCTGGGTTTTAGAGGTGATTGCAGAAGTAGGACCCACATTGCAGTAAGGATACACCATCTTTCAGTCTTAACCTCCGTTCGTCAGTCTCTCGTGAAGAAATTCAAAAATAAAAATTATATAATGAAAGAAGTAGAAATTAGGAGAGCGAGATGTGGGTGCTCAAGCCCATAATGTCCCACATCTATATCACTCTTCACTGCCTGCAGACAGTTGTGGGAAGGTGACTGCTCTCCAAAGTAAAAGAAAATAGATTAATAAGTAAAAAAGAAAAATGAAATAAAGTACTACCACTTAGGGATAAGTAAGATAAACTTACCTCCTAAGGTTGGCATTTCAGCCCTCATTGTAAGTAGTAAAGGACTAATTGGTAGCACAGTAGACAAATTATACTAGTATAAAATCCCAACCAAGTTATCTTAACTAACTAGTATAATTCCCAATCACCACCCGTTAAGTCCACTGTAACTACCAATTTTGAGACACTACACAAGCCTTTATACGTGATATATATATATATATATATATATATATATATATATAGTAGGTTAAGTAATTAT